GGCCTGCGTTTGAGGTCCAGTACTTTAAAAATATTAACCAATTGAGCTGGGCATTGGTGGTGCCTGCCTTTAATCTCAGCACTCGAGAGGAAGAGGCAGGGGAACTCTGTGTGTTTGAGGCCAGCCTGGTGTACAGAGCAGGGCTATACACAGAGAAACCCTGTCTCAAGCACCCAAATATATATGTTAACCAATTGAACTCTCCCTAGAATGCCTGCTTCAACAGCACATCTCCTAAAATCAAAATGAGACAGATCGCCCTGGCTCTGCGCAAGAGTGACATGTGAACACATGAAGCGTTTTGTTCTTTCTTGGTGCCGGGGAACGTGAGTATCCATGTGAAGAAGAATGAAAATAGATCTAGATCTCTGAACCTGAAGAAACGTTAATTCAATTCAAAATGGACCACAGACCTTTATGTGAGGTTTGCATACATTAAACTGATAGAGAGAGACAGCGAACGAGCACATGGAGATGTGGATGCAGGGTGCTTTAAAGGACCCCAATAGCTTGGGAGATATGTCTGGCATGGTGGTGCCTGCCTGGGATGCCAGCATCTGGTAGGCAAAGGGCTGAGAGGCAACACAAGTTTGGAGCTGGCATGACCTACGTACTGAGATTCTGATCTGTCATGGCTCCATGGTAAAACTATGTCTTAGAGAAAGTGTGGTGTGGTGTGGTGTGTGTGTGTGTGTGTGTGTGTGTGTGTGTGTGTGTGGTGTGTGTGGTCTCCGTGATATTAGAAAGCTTCCAAGCCAGGTGTGGTACCTCATGTCTACTGACCCTGTAGTTGGGAGAGTTGGGCAGAAGCGCTGGCAGGAGTGTGAGCCCAGGCTGGACTCTACAGTAAGTTCCAGACTAGCCTGGGCTACAATGAATCACTCTCTTAGAATACAAAGCAAACAAAACAAAAACCTTAAATTACCAAACCAAACCAAATCGAATCATCATCATCAACAACAACAACAAAAATACTTTGCAGTAAAGGAAGCTAGCCAGGAAACGGTGGCCTTCAGAAGGGAAGTGTCCGATAGTTATGTGACTAACATTGATACCTAGAATATACATTGTCTCTGAAGCTAAAGTCCCTCCTAGGATCTGTGTGCATCATAATTTAATTGATAATTGATAGTGAGTTGGGTGTCTGTTTTTGTTTTTGTTTTTTGTTTTGTCTTAGGCGATAAAACAAAACGAAACCCCCCCGAATCCCACAACGTATGGTCAAAGACATCTGGTATTCAATAAAATTTGTCACAGAAGTCCATGAAGTGCTGTGTCCTGACAAATGGCCTGCGTCAGCTAGCTTACTCACACCCACCTCAAGAGGTTTCCTTATATCTCTCATAGCACTCTGGCTGCTATCGGTCAAAGTACTTAGTCAGTTTTCACATGAAAATTCAAACCTTTTATTTTTTGCCTCTGTGTGTGTGTGTGTGTGTGTGTGTGCACGTATGTGCATGTGTGTGTGTGCAAGCCTGAAGTTGACAGTGAATGGATTCCCTGCCTGCTGAGCCATCTCCTCAGACCGCAGACTTACATTTCAAATGCCTTCCAGCCTCTTGGGCAATTACTGGTATTTTGATTTCCATATCCCGATTACAGTATTCAGGCAATACGGACTAACATCACCCAGCTTTATTTTTTCATCACCATCTTTTCTTCACTCTCCCAGCCAACAAGCTGAAGTTATGAAGGAGCCTTTCGTGCCTTGGAAAAGCTAAGTTTGGTTCCTGGTCTATTAGTCACTAATTAGCCGCACACCTGATGTGTCTCTCGGTTCTTAGACGGGCGGGGAGGGTGGGGGGTGATACTTGCTTCCCACTTAGGCAGAATCAAGTGGGACCATGCAGGCAGAGGTCCCTTACGATTCCTGCGACCATGCAGGTGGAGGTCCCTTACAATTCCTGCGACCATGTAGGTGGAGGTCCCTCACAATTCCTGCGTTTGGAAATCTGATAGAATAGCTAGGGCTCAGTTTCTCTCTGTCATTTTCCCAATCTAGACTAACCCCCAAAAGCAACAGACAGGAATTCTTTAGAGGTGCAGTGGATTACTTCCTGTTCATCCTCAGGATGCTCGGGGTGATGCCTATCCTTCACAGCCTGGAGAACAAAGCAGGTCGCTTTTATGTCTGACTGCATGCAGTTTCCAGCGAGAATGTGAACACCTTAGCTTTAAAGGTCGCTGTCCCCTCACTTTGCCCTGTGGAAGCTGCTGTGTTGGCTGTGTTATCCCGGAGAAGGCATATGTTGACACCTTCAAGGCAGCACTAGTTTGGACTTGATACCTTGAGATCCCTTGTGTTCGCTTTATGTAATGATCGTTTAAATATTTGTGGGTTTCTTCCTTTTTCTAAGTTGTAAACTTTGTATTTTCCTGGGTGCTACACACTAACCAAGCTGCATTTGTGTTGTACTTGTCTTTAACCTCCAAGCAGGGCGGGGAGTGGACATTGTTACTAGTAGTTACTTGGCACCCACTTTGTGCTCGGTTTACACCTGGCACGGGGTTTCCTGTAAGCTTCTCATGGAAATCTGATTAGGATGCTGTGTGAGATGAACATGCTGAGGGATATTAGGGATGGCGGGACCAAAGTCCAACCTGATTCCTTTCTGCATTCAAAGCTCACATCTCCAGTGTGAACTCTAAGCCCACGGAGGCGGGGCACTGCTGCGGAGAGAATCCCAGCCTCATTCACAACAATCAAGAGCTCTGACCCCACGCGGCAGCTCCAGTCCGTGTCTAACCGTTTTCCTTTCGATTTTTGCTTTTGTTTGTGCATAACGAAAAAACTGAGTGAAGACTTGGTATTTGGGCAAGGACTTGGACGCTATGCTTTTTGCTTCTCTGCTTTATTTTTACGTGCGTGTGTGTGTGTGCGCGCGCGTGTCCTCTGAGGCCAGAAGAGGGTGTCTCATCCTCTGGTACTGGATCTGCAGGCAGTTGTTAATCATGCTAAGAGAGTGCTGAGAACCAAACCCGGGTCCGCTGGAAGAACAGCAAGCTCTCTTCCCCGCTCAGCCAGCTCCCAGCTCCACTTTTCAGCGCCTTCTTTCTGTTACCGTTTCGTCTCAGTTTTACTCTGGAAAATGAAGCAGTGTGTTGTTTGCTTTTTCCACCTTCCTGGCACTATTCCAGATCCTTATGGCATTACAGAAGTATCTGCCCAGAGGCATCCCATGGAGAAGACAGAATAGAGAAAGCTCGAAGATAAATTACACGAATGTGTTGCTACAGAACTGCTAATAAAACCTGCAACAGGAGGAAAGCAGAGGGCGTAATTTGTTGGCAAGACAATTTAGCCCCAACTATCAAGAACTAAAACCACAAAGGAGTGCATATTATTTCTTTAAACTGCAAAAGGAAGGGAGACTTGCCAGAAAGGAAAACAAAAAAGTTTTCCAATGCTGAGAATTTACTTGTACAAACTCACAAAGAAAGATTTTTTTTTCTTTAGAGTATATTTTCTTTGGACAATCAAAGAAGATTGCATTCTACACTGGTCAAAGTAATCTAAGATTAGGGCTTATCAGATTCAGCCCTGACAATGTGGTTGTTTTTCCGTTTCACAGCATGCTCGGTTTTTATACTTGGCTGCTAAATTGCTTTACCACTTTGGTAGCGAAGTTTAAAATGTTTACTTCCAATACTTTTCTCTCCAATAAGATAAATTCCTCTTTGAGAAGACTGTGTATAAGGAATTAGACTCCGACTTTAATTTGATTCCTTAAGTTCTCAGATATGGAAAATGTTTCTTTTCAAAAACTATGCTAGTTAAATGATTTAAGATCGCAAAGGAAAAGTGGAATTTCCAGAATAAATCTTGATGAGTAAAGAATAAAGTGTGTAAAATTTAATATATTTAGAGAAAGAAAGAGACTGCATAGAAAAAGTTGGGGGTGAAGCCAGGTGTAGTGATTCCAGCACTTGGGAAGCAGAGGCAAGCGGATCTCCGTGAGTTCAAGGCCAGTTGAATCGACGTAGTAATTTCCAGGACAGCCAGAGTTAAATTGGGGGCGCAATGTCGCTCAGAGGTAGGGTCTTGTGTTGAACGTGGTCTGGATACCTTCCTCAGCACCGCAAGTACAAGCGAGCAGTGCAAACAATTTAAAACGTCCAAAGTTGGACAAACAATTTTAGAGTGAAAGTTATTTTTAAAAACAATACTGGTGAGGGCTCCCTTTAGGAAGTCAGCTTTAACAGAAAGCAGAGCAGTTTCTACTCCATCATTCCCTTCATTTATTTGTCCCTTAAGTGGAGCAAACTAGCATTTCCCTGGGGGAGAAAAAGCCACTATAAATTGGGACAGAAAGATACTGCTGGCCCCTGTGTACCCGGAAAGCCTTCCTGAGAGAGTTGGCGAAGCAGAGGTTTGGGGAAAGCCTCCCGTTGGCTTTCTACAGCGAGCTGGGGCACCTGGGTGCTGCGGAGCGCGGTTTATCCGACGGCTTTCGGGCACAAACACTCACTGGCTCCCGCGCCCCTAAAACGTTAGGAGGCAGAGTTTGGAGGCAGGAAAAGGGGCCGACGGGGCGGGCTGCGAGAGCGAGCACCTGCTTGGCGGCTCTCCGGGCG